AACATCTAAGAATGTCAATTTATTTAAGGACAATTATGACAAATGTTGGACAGAGGTAAAGAAAGATCTAGAAATATGGTCAAGGTTGAAACTTTCTTTGTTAGGTCGAATTGCTGTTATCAAGATGAATGTATTGCCTAGAATGTTGTTTTTATTCCAGACATTGCAGATTTTGGACAAGATGGACTGTTTCAAGAAGTGGCAGAAAGATATATCTAAATTTGTCTGGCAGGGCAAAAAGCCCAGAATAAAATTTAAGATTCTAACTGATGCAAAAGATAGAGGGGGGTTGCCCTGCCGGACTTAAGACTCTACTATGAATCGGCGGCTTTCTGCTGGTTGAAACATTGGCTACTTCTTGAGAATACAGACATTTTGGATCTAGAAGGGTTTGACAATAGATTTGGCTGGCATGCATATATATGGTATGATAAGGTAAAACTGCATAAAGGTTTCAAAAACCATATTGTTAGGAAAGCATTATATAATGTTTGGATGCGGTATAAAGATTTACTGGAAAGTAAAACTCCCAGGTGGTTGTCACCAATGGAAGCTAAAGAGGTGAAAAAACTTAATATGGAGTCTAAATGGCCAAAATATTGTGAAATTTTAGAACAAGATGGGGAAAAAGTTAAATTACAGAGTTATGAGAAATTAAAGTCCAAAGTGCGAGATTGGTTGCACTACCTTCAGATAAACGAGACATTTAAACAGGACAGGAAAATAGGTTTCCAGATGGAGAGGTCAAAATTAGAAACAGAACTGTTAGAACCCAATACTAAGAATCTGTCGAGAATGTATAATCTGCTGTTGAAATGGAACACACAGGATGAAACGGTGAAATCAGCTATGATAAAATGGGCACAAGACATTGGTCATAACATTATGTTTGCTGACTGGGAACAGCTCTGGACCACAGGTACTAAATTTACGGCATGTAATGCCTTAAGAGAAAACATTATGAAAATGATGTACAGGTGGTACATGACCCCAGTCAAGCTTGCAAAAATTTATCATCTGCCCAATAACAAATGTTGGAAATGTAATGAGACTGAAGGTACTTTTTATCACCTTTGGTGGACCTGCCCGAGGATAAAAGCTTTTTGGGAAATGATCTATAATGAAATTAAGAAGGTTCTTAAATGGACCTTCCCTAAAAAACCTGAGGCTTTTCTCCTGGGCATTGTCGGCCAATTGGTGAGAAGGAAGGACAGGACGTTTTTTATGTATGCGACCACAGCAGCAAGGATTCTTCTAGCAAAGTATTGGAAGACACAACAACTACCCACACTGGAAGAATGGCAGACGAAGGTGATCGACTACATGGGACTGGCGGAGTTGACTGGCAGAATCCGTGACCAGGGGAAAGAGACAGTGGAAGAAGATTGGAAGAAATTCAAAGTTTATCTTAGAACTTGTTGTAAAATTCAGGAATGTTAAAATGTCAAGGGGTAGGGAAACAGAGAATTGCAGCTGTAATTAACAATATTAGAAGAATTTAAAAGAAAATGAATTGAATAATTAGTTGACTGAGGAGTTGCTGAAAAATATAAAACAAGGATGCAGAAAAGGGGAGGTATGGGGAAGTCCGGAAAGTAAGGTTTATGAAAAAATGGTTATGAAATTATACATGTTTATATGTTTGTATGTCGGTGTATTGTGTATTGTTTGTCTTTTTATTTTGTGTTTGGAAAATTAATAAAAATTTATTTAAAAAAAAAAAAATGGAATATGATATATGATAAAATTAAGAAAATGTTGAAATATACATACATTAGAAACCGGAAGCTTTTCTACTGGGAA